CCAGCTTGTTAGTTTGGTCTTTAAATAATGTCTCATTCCGTTTGTCCCTTGTTTGTGTATTGTGCTTCCCAGTCTTGATGCTCCGTTTCCTCCTTGTCTCCCAGTACTACTGTATAGGTCTTTCTAAGTTTTGCTGCCTCATCAGCGTTTGTTTTGAGTTTTCGTTAATGAAGAAGTTCTCTTTATTTTACCCCTTGAGTTCCTCTGAATCTGTCTGCACCCTGGGTCCAACAAAGACTTCAGTGCTTGATAAACACGACAATTTGTTCTCCTTCATAGTGACATTTGTGCAAAACGAGAGTCCCACCTAAATTGATGGGCATGTCAGCTCATCATCATTTGTTTGGTTAAACATATTTTCTACTCTGAAGGCTGTCTGACAACTTGATTGTTTTATTGGAAGCTAAAAAATATAAAACAAATCCAAAACAATTTCTCCTTTATTTTGCCACTTAATTCCACAAATTCCTTCTCTGAAGCCTCACCTGACGAAACGGCTGACTGGAAATATGATCTTGAGGAGGGTTAAAAAAAACCGACAAAAAAAGCAGGTCGGTTCTTGTTGAAGAAAATATTCTTGCTTAACTTATTAAAAACAAGCTACACTAAACAGCAGGAGAAGATTTTAAACGGTATTTACTTGCAAGGTCAGATTTTCAGTACAGGGTACACACATATAGACCAGTGACGAGGATCTGTCTCGAGCTTTCTCTTCAGCTTTCTTTTGTGTGCAACAATTTTCAGTCAGGTCATCTGGACAGTTATTTTAATTTTTTTATTTTTTTGCTGAAATGTTTGTTTCTGACTGAAAATTGTTGGATTGTATACCTGGATTATTGAGTATGGACTGTTTTAGTTTCTTTGATATGCTTATCAGTTCAGCTAAGTTCACAGAACCTGGAGGTGTCCTTTGCTGCCACCTGCATGCTGCAGCCTCACTCTCTCTCTCTCTCTCTCTCTGCTATTCCAAACATATGATTCATGAGAACCATATGATCAGCCATAGTAGGAAAAACATCCATGACCTTCTGTATAATTGTCATTTGTTTATACAAAAAAAAAATCAAGTTTATTTTCGTCTGCTGTTAAAAGGTGGACAATAATGTTTTAGCTTTTGAGTGTTTTTGCGTTTTGTTATATTTTAAGGCCTTTTTTTTTTTCTTTTTCTGCCACATACTACATTATGAGAACCAACTGCTCCTTATGCCACATGTTTGTTGATATGTGCTGCTAACTATCCATGCTGCTGATCTCATGCTGCTGATTTACAGTGAGGAAAATAAGTATTTTGAACACCCTGCGACTTTGAAAGTTCTCCCACTTAGAAATCATGGAGGGGTCTGAAATTTTCATTTTAGGTGCATGTCCACTGTGAGACATGATCTAAAAAAAAAATAAAAAAAAAAGAAATCCGGAAATCACAATGTATGATTTAAAAAAAAAAAATTTTTGTGTGTGTGTTACTGCTGCAAATAAGTATTTGAACACCTGTGAAAGTCAATGTTAATATTTGTTACAGTAGCCTTTGTTTGCAGTTACAGAGGTCAAAGGTTTCCTGTAGTGTTTCACCAGGTGTGCACACACTGCAGCAGAGATTTTGGCCCATTCCTCCACACAGATCTTCTCTAGATCAACTAGGTTTCTGGGTTGTCACTGAGAAACACGGAGTTTGAGTTCCCTCCAAAGATTTTCTTTGGGGTTTAGGTCTGGAGACTGGCTAGGCCACTCCAGCACCTTGATATGCTTTTTACGGAGCCACTCCTTGGTTCTCCTGGCTGTGTGCTTCGGGTCATTGTCATGTTGGAAGACCCAGCCACGACCCATCTTCAATGCTCTGACTGAAGGAAGGAGATTGTTCCCCAAAATCTCACAGTACATGGCCCCGGTCATCCTTTCCTTAATACAGTGCAGTTGTCCTGTCCCATATACAGAAAAACACCCCCAAAGCATGATGCTTCCACCCCCATGCTTCACAGTAGGGATGGTACTCCTCTTTCTTCATCCTCCAAACACGGCGAGTGGAATTAAGACCAAAAAGTTCTATTTTGGTCTTATCTGACCACATACCTTTCTCCCATGACTCCTCTGGATCATCCAAATGTTCATGGGCAAACTTAAGATGGGCCTGAACATATGTTGATTTAAGCAGGGGAACCTTCCGTGCCATGCATGATTTTAAAGTATGACGTCTTACTGTATTCCCCACAGTAACCTTGGAAACATTGGTGCCAGCTCTCTTCAGGTCATTGACCAGCTCCTCCCATGTAGTTCTGGGCTGATTCCTCACCATATTGTAGTTGGAGTCTTACTGATTGTGTGGGGTGGACAGGTGTCTTTATGCAGCTAACAACCTCAGACAGGTGCTTCTAATTTAGAATAATAAGTTGAATGGAGGTAGACTTTTCAGAGGTGGACTAACAGGTCTTTGAGGGACAGAATTGCTGCTGATTGGCAGGTGTTCAAATACTAGCTTATTTACAGCAGTAAAACAGAAATAAATTATTAAAAAATTATACATTATGATTTCCGGATTTTTAAAAAGATTATATCTCTCACAGTGGACATGCACCTGAGACGAAAATTTCAGATCCCTCCATGATTTCTAAGTGGGAGAATTTGCAAAGTCGCAGGCTGTTCTAATATTTATTTTCCTCACTGTATTTCATGCTGATGTGTTTATTTGTACTCATCTGCTCACATGGTTCGTGCTGCTGTTGTTCGGCGTATATTAGCATATTTCAGAGTTCATATCTTAGATCTTATTATAGCTTTTCTTTTACAGTTTACCTGTAGCTGGTTCTTCTGACATAAAAAATAATTACCAAACCAATAAAAAAAATAGCCCAAAAATGCAAAAACCATAGACATTCCATAGGTCAAATGACCACGAGTGGCAGGGATAGTATGGCAAGCCATGCTTGCATGTATTGGATCATCATCCGTACACGTCCATGACGCAATAAAAAGCCCAACACCGACCTGACCAACAAATTAAGCACATTATGATGGCCCGGTCCAAATCCGGGTCGGGCGAAGCTGGGCTCTGGGTTCGGGTTAGAAATGACAGCTCTAGTTAGAAGTAAGATTTTGAATACAATTCTAAAAGATAATCATAAAATAGATACATTTTATAACAAAAATTAACTTTAAAGTAATGTGTGAGTTCTACTGGTGAGGAATCACCTCTCTGGGAGGTGTGGGTGTAAAACTCAGTTTGAAATCACTGTAGTTTGAAGCAAATCAGATCAAGTCCAGTTTAGACCAATTATTAAACTTTAAGTTGTTAACAAAGGTCATATTTTCTATATTATAATTCGTATTGCATGCATATAGCTGGCTATTCTGATTATAAATTTGTTGAAATAGCTGAGAATGTTAACAACAGTGCAAAAATTCTGCAATAGTCTACATTCAAAGAAAAAAGAATGCAACACTTACACAATTAATTGTCAAACAGGATTTTAACTTTAACCTTTTGTTACCAAATGATCTTAAAAAATGTATCCAAAAAAGGCGGTGAACATTTGGGTGTGTCTGTTGCTACTATATATCTTTTGAAAAGAAGCTCTGCAGACATAAGGACCCAGCATCATCTCTGCTGCTCAGACTGCAGTTTATTTACCAGGATATCCAAACAGGGATTCAGGAGATCATTTCTGACTGTGATAAATCAACATGAGGACACTCTGTTCAATGATAGCTGTCCTGCTGATAGCATCTTGTCTGTTTGTGCCCTCTTATTCTGTTCGTAATAAACCTGGTGAGTTTGTTTTTATTCTGTGTTAATCTCTAATTTGTTAATTATTTTTGTTTATCTTATTTACCTAGAAACTAGTTACCCTCATTAACAGTGAGCTACCACTTCTCTACAACCAGGGTTTTGTCCTAAAGGTTCTTCGAATAACCCGCCAACACCACATTGTGGCAATGATGGGGACTGTTCTGGAGATAAGAAATGCTGCAGGTCTCACTGCGTCTCTCCTATTTTAAGTAAGACATGTTTGTATTAAATGTTACAAAATGTAGAAATGAACAGCCATTTAAAGTTAAGACACAGAATGTCCAACTGGTTTAGCAGATTAATTTGATTATCATTGACAAAAGCTTCACTACCTCATGTCAAAACCATTTAAAAGGTTAGAAAAAGAATGTGATCTGTACTTGGATGGCTTAACTGTAGCAGTCAACTTGAATGAGGTTAACTCCAAAACTTATCTATAAATGTACATTCAATT